ATAAAATCGTGAGAAAAGTACGAAACATTGCTGGAGTGTCTCCTTCAAGTGCCTATGGAGTTATGAGAGAACATAAACAAAAACATTTTTTTGGCTCCAAAACTATATCCTTCACGAAAGAAAATTATTGATAAGGTAGACGACTTTGATTTGAACGCTATTAGAAGGAAAGCACATCATTTTTTTTTAAACGAAAAGCCAACAATAGAATCAGTTCTAAAAGTTGTAAACGATGATCTTGATCTACCAAATTTCAAAAGGTCGACATTCCACAAATTATTGAAGAAAATAAGTTTTAAATTTAAAAAAAGATAGAGAAATCCTTTGCTTCTCGAGAAACCAGAAATAGTATTGTGAAGACAACAATATTTAATGAAAATAAAAGCCTACATAAGATAAGAAATCTGTTACCTGGATAGATGGCCTCTTAACTGGCTTGAAGAACCCTTCAGGTAAGAATCACCTTATTATACTCTCAAGAAACTGCGTATGTCGTCGACCATCATGAGGAAATAGATGGAATATTTTTTGAGAATTTGTTTAGGAATATAGTTCCGAAACTAGAAGAGAATTGTGTAATTCTTTTAGACAACGCTCCATATCATTCCAGAAAAGCTAAAAAATTTTTACTACAACTACAAAAAAGTTGTAATTCAAGACTATGGATGCGTTTGAAAAGTATATCGTTCGAGAATAACATGGTGAAAGCTGAACTTTTAAGGATAGTGAATAAACATAAAACCAAATATAATAAATACAATATTGGCGAAATTGCTAAAGCACACAATAGAATAATAATACGTCTTATGTATTCCCCCTTACCAATGGATAATTTAGTTGACAGAAATCCGTTGACAATTAATCTTAATGATGATTCTTCTAGTAGCAGTTATTCAGAATCTGAATAATCGATCTGAAATGACAAAAGGTTTTATTTCTTTATTATTAATATTTATTTTCAGTGTTGCGTTCTTCATTCGGGTTTGAAGGCCGTCGTGGTTTGGAACTGTATCCTTATGTTTCGTCACCACGAGTGGCTGGCTTCTTCATCTTGATGGCTCACCGATGAACCGCCGGTGAACCATCAAATTGAATAAACTTCTGAAGAAGACCGCCACTCGTGCTGGTGAAACGTTAGGATACAGTTCAAACCACGACGACCTTCAAACCCGAATGAAGATCGCAACACTCAAAAACTGTTTACCCGTTTCTTCTGTTGAAATAAAAAGACTCCATTATTTTGTAGTTCATTTAATGTTGAATACACAAAATTGTGTTCGTTTTTTTCATTAGTTAAACTCTAAATAATTTTCCTATATTTACCCAGCCGCATATTATAAAAAAAAATCGCTCATTCCTCAGTGCGACTGCATTCAGAGAGGGCCAAATTTGACACTTTTAAAGGGATACTCCTGTTTTCAAACTAGATAGATGAATAATGATGGTTGTGTCTGAGTGTCAAATTTTATAACAAACTCAATGGTGAAAATCGCATATCGATATCTATCATGGTTTCTGAGTTACAGCATGTTTTTCGAAAATATGGCAGCGGCGGCTCATCAGAGGAGGCAGAGGAGGCTTAGCCTCCCCATAAAATTTGAGGCTATTTATCGCAATCGTTAAAAGATATTGACAAATAATTATGATTATTTTTTTCTAAAAATGCTTGGGTATCACTACTTTACCATTAATGTTTAATATAAATACATAATATGCCCGAAAAAACACTATCACTCACTACGTAGTACGTACCACACTGTATTCTGCATCAACAAACCTCAAACTCACCGCCCACCGCCCACCCACGAACAAATAACGAAGAAACCATCAGCCCGAACTAATAAATGCCATACGTTGATACGTTGCAAAGAAGCCAAGCCTCTGACCGCTTCAAAAAACACAAGCTCCGCGATACCGACCCAGCCAGCGACATACGTCCCGATTTGTAATTTCAGTCTGGGAAGGCCTCAACCAAATTTGATTTCAATTAAAGCGTCCGATAATCGACAAAATCGAGGATTTAATATTAGTTGGTACGATAAATGCGATTGGTTAACCGGCTCCATTAAACGAGAAAACCTTTTTTGTTGGCCCTGTGTTTTATTTTCCGTAAAAACCGAATACCAAACGTGGTCTAAAATAGGATACTCCGATTTGAAAAATTGACCTCGTTCTACAAAAAGACATTTTAAATCTATGAATCATACATTTTCGTCTTGTAAATTAAAATTGTTTAGCGAACAAAATATAGCAACAGCTTTAGATACAACTCAAAAAGAGGCCATAATTTCTTTTAATAATCAGGTTAGGGAAAACCGGTCGAATTCAAAAAGACTTATCGATATTACGATTTATTTGGGTTCCCAAGAATTAGCTTTTCGCGGATACGATGAAACCGAATATTCGAATAATCGCGGCAATTACAAGGAACTTTTAATGTTATAGGGCAAATATGATTCACAATTTGGCACTTTTTTAAACGGTAGCGTTTTTTCGGGCACCTCAAAAACCATCAAAAATGAGCTTATACACAGTGTGGCACATATTATTAAGGAAAATATAAGAAAGTGTTTCTTTTTTTGCATAGGAAATTGATGAAACTACCGATATTACCTGTACATCATAACTTTCAATCGTTTCTAGATATGTCAAAGATGGTAATGTGGTAGAATGTTTTATGGGTTTTCATGATGTTTTATCTGAGCGCACAGGTGACAATTTGTTTAAGGCCAAAATCTGCCTCCGTCTTCAAAATATAGAATGTTTTTGTCCATTTCTGAAGACGGAGGCAGATTTTGGCCTCCGAAACGTAAAAGATAAGTGTATTATTTCTTAACAATTTTTTTATAGGCAAAATTGTTAAATACGACAAGTTACTGATAAATAGAAGATTTTTCTTTGTGAAAAATACTTTGATTTTTACGCAGTAACTTATCGGGGTAAACTGAAAAGTTTACCCTTCTACACTAGTATAAAGTTCTCCATTATAATTTTTATATTTTTCAGATTGTGGAAGGTAAAAATATCCTAAAAAGGTCGATAAAAACATAATTAAGTACTTGTGCTTATAATATATTTTGTAACAATTTTTAACAAAACTGTTATATTAGAAGAGAAAAGTATTATTTATTGACTGAAAGAGTTCATTTATATTAAATAACTCCAAGACAACCTTTTTTACTTGTTTTTGTTTTTTCAATGGTCAGTTTTATACGTATAATTTTCGGCAATACACAATTTTTGTTTGCATTTATGTTTTAAACAGGTGCGGTACCCCAAAAAAATGTTCACGCCTCCGGAGGGCTTTTCTGAGTATATATAGTCTTTATGACTTCAGCCTCCCCTGTTCTCCAATGCACGAGCCGTCACTGAAAATGTGCATTTTCAAAAAGTTGCTGTAACTTTTTTCCTGTCAAAAATTTCTTGTCTTTATGAAAAATCAATGGGTGTAAAAATGAGATAAATAGTTTTCATAGAAAATATTTTTTAATGTGTCATCCTGTATATTCCTGCATATTTCGAAAATCTTAAAATAACCTTTCCAAAAATTTAGCACACTTGATGTTTTGCTAGAGGCATCTTTGAAATACAAGGGATTCAATATTTTGCCATAAAATTTTTAAATACCTCTGAGATGTGAAAGTGCCATTATAAATGAACGGGCCGATAATTCTACCCCTGAAAACACCATTGGTGTGAAGTTATCCACAGATTTCTGGCCATACATGCTGACGTAGAGGAAAATAAAAATCTGTGGTTGGGATACGAAATTATTAGCACCCGTACTAATATCTATGGCTGGAAATACCTAGTCACTATAGGTTGAACGTGGAATTATTAAAACTATTTGGTGACTTTGGACTTTTTTTATAGAATCTTGAGTAGATTGACGCGTTGATAATCGTTTTCTCATCAACAATACAACTTTAGGGAAAAATACAATTGGAAATATTAGACTTACTTTCCAATACCCCATATAGAAATGATATCCAAGAATGTGCGTCCATCAAAATCAAACAACTTCCATAGTTTCTTGAGTAGATTAACATGGTGATGACAGTTTTCTTGTTATCTAAACAGATTTCGAAAAATAAATTGTTGAAACAATCAGACTCATTTTTTGAGATTCCTTGTATTCATGAAAATCACACAACTCTTATAGAATCTTGGGTAGATCGATATAGTGAAAACTGTTTTCTTGTCATCCATACAGATTTCGAGAATAAAATTGTTGAAACGATCAGACTAACTTTTCAAAACACCTTGTAGATTTGGGACCAGAAGATGTACGTTCATGAAAATTACACAACTGTTATAGAATCTTGTCACCCATACATATTTCAAGAGAAAAATTGTTGCAACAATCAGACTCACTTTTTAAAACACTTTGTAGAATTGGAACCATATGATGTGCGTTCATGAAAATTACACAAGTCTTATAGAATCTTCGGTAGATCGATATGGTGAAAACCGTTTTCTTGTCACTCATACAGATTTCGAGAAAAAAAATTGTTGCAACAGTCAGACTCACTTTTTAAAACCCCTTGTGGAATTTAAACCAGATGATGTGCGTGAATAAAAATCGCACAACTCTTAGGTAGATTGACGTAGTGATAAAAATTTGTATGTCAACCGAACAGATTTCGAAAATAAAAATGTTGAAACCATCAGACTCATTTTTTGAGATTCCTTGTGGAATTGGAAAATTATTTGAATAATGGAAGAATTTATTGAAATTGTTAGATTAAATCCATGCCTTTGGAAAGTAGATGAGAAAAACTATAAAAATCAAGACTTACGTGATAGTCTCTGGGAAGATATCTCAAAAAAGTGCAATATAAAAGACGGTAAGTTAAATATGCTTTCTGGAATATTTAAAAAACTAATCTATATTTTGCGTTTATAATAATAAGTAAATGAAGATATATGAGTTAAAATATACTACAAGTCTGGTCTGAATTAAAACAAAAACAAAAAATACATAAACCGGCGAAAGACTTCATATTTTTATTTACTTTGCCTTTTTATTTATAAATACAAAATTTTATTTATACAATTTTATCCCGCCACGGAATCCTGCCTATGTTAGAGTTAAAATAGTTACAAAAATTCTGCCTTATAACAAAAGATTCAGTCGTTGCTCTTGATCCTCTATGTGCTAATGGCAACCACTGATTGTTAGAGTTGCCTTTTTCCAATAGTTCCTCATTTATATTAGGGCATCTCCCCTCCCTAGTGCCTAAATAATTATGGAGAATACAAGTGGCTTTGATTATGCTATCTATACTTTCTAATTTGCATTCTAATGGACGTTTATAAATTCGAAATCTTGCTGCCAATATACCAAACGTATTTTCTATAACTCGTCTAGCTCTGCTCAGGCGATAATTGAAAACACGATTTTCTTTATTTAAAGAACGTCTTGGAAATGGTCTCATTAGATTTACCATAAGCGGAAATGCTTCATCTCCAACTATTACAAATGGAAAATTTATATCATTATAATTTTCCATAGGACTAGATTCGGGTAAATGAAATGAATTTGTTTTTAACCTACGTCCAATAGGACTATTGGCAAATATTCCTCCGTCACTAAATCTGCCTGCTGACCCAATGTCGACGGCTATCAATTGATAATTGGCACTTGCTATGGCCATCAATACTACAGAAAAAGTTTTCTTGTAGTTAAAATATGATGAACCAGAATTCGGTGGAGCTTTTATAATCACATGTTTGCCGTCTATAGCACCGACACATTTTGGAAATTGCCATCGCTCTCTAAATTCCAATTCATACACGTTCCAAGACTTCTCGTCGGGCATTTTCAGGAATGTTGGTTGTAATTGGGACCAGAGCGATGAACAAACTTCGTGAACAATTTTTGAGACAGTTCTTTCTCCTAAACAAAAACTGTATCCAATTGTTCTATATGAATCACCTGTCGCCAGGAATCTAAAAAACATAAGAAAACATTTTTATTACAGTGTATAAAAAAATTTATTAATATTGAGATTTTAAAATTTGCACTGTTTTTTTTTCTTTAGGAAACGAGGCTAAACGTCAATGGAAAAAATTAAGGGATTCATTGAGGGACGCTCTAAAACGACAAAATGATTGTAAAAGTGGAGACGCAGCTCGTATAAAAGATCATGGATATACCAGAGACAAATGGAATTTCTAGTTCCATACATGGCCAACCGAAGCAGATGTTCCAACATAGTTGACACACAAGTAAACGAAAATGTTATAGAAACAGGCCAAGACGACCATCTACAAACCCAAGAGGACCTGTCTCACATTGATTTAGAAGAAAATAAAGATCAAGAAACACCGTTGGAACATAATTATGAATTTGTGGAGCCTGCAAAGAAAAAAAATATCAATGGCAAGACAATGTTGTATCGTTAATGAAACAACAAGTGGATAAAAGAGAGGCTAGGACTGCTGAGAGAAACAGCCAAAGAAAAGAACTGGAACAAAAATTACAATCCAACGATCCCCTAAAAGAATTTTTTAATAATATGTATTTAACAACAGCTTCTATGCCTCAACGTTTTCAAATTATGATTAAGAGAAAAATATTTGATGCTGTTAGTGAGGCTGAAATGAATTTATCTCATACTACACATGTGACTAATTTAGGTAGTCATGCCAACAGAGAAAGCACTGCCAATGGTTACCACCATAACTTATTTACACTACAGCCGCCACAACAATCGAACCCTGTTTATAATCAATCTATTTCTACCCCGCTGCCCTCGCCACAATCAACATCTACCCAATCATCAGGCGATGAAACAGTCGCAAGCTATTTTGGAGGATGGAATGTAGGCAACTAAAGTATGAATTTATTATAATTAATTTGGTTGTTGTTTTTGTTATTACAGAAATATTGCAGTTATTTTTATTTCCATATGGTAAAATAAATTTGCGTTGAGAACTAAACAGTGTATATGTAATAAAACAAAATTACCTTAAACATACAGCCAAACGCTCCTCTGTGGTGATACTTTGTCGGTAGTTAGTGTTTAGCTTTATAATTTCAAATCGTATGAATTCATGAATTTCCATAAATTGTGATCTAGAAAGCCTAAAGTAATTTTTAAACTGTTCATCACTTAATATTGGAATCAATTTATGAAACTCGCCAAATTGTTTTCTTTCTACTAAATGGTTTGATATCCAGAATCTATGTTTTCTCTTCTCCGCCATCAGTATAATGAGACTTAATAAATCGCTTCTGTGCTCGTCTTCGGAATCATCTTCCTCAGAACTTGCGTCCAAAAGATACTTTTTGATTTTTAAATTATTGAACATTTTAATGTCAATATTCTGCTAGTAGCTACAACACCGCACGACTAGCATTTGGTGGACGGACTGCTACAGCTTTGAACCAGCACAGCCTAGCATAGCACAGCTCAGCCTCGCACAGCACCGCTTTCGGTGGACGGCCAGCTTAACGTTCTGGTTGTATATATGGAGAGACTATGAAGTATTTAACAATGAGGTTATTTTCTGTTATTTTTTCTTTCATTCAATTGCTGGCGTAGCTTTCTTTGGTGTTGAATTTGGCGAGGTGTCTTATCGAAGGATATAAAAACATTATTAAAGGTATCATTCTTTAATTTTTTGAGTTCCTAATGCATGCCATTACTGAGTCCTCATTCTCTAGGGTTACTTTGATATGTCGGGGAGTGGTTCTATTGGCATCGTATTTTCCTAGACGCATGGGTCGAAGAAAATTGGTGTTTATTTGTGGGTTCACGCTTTTTATGACCTTGGACACAGCGTTTAATTCAGCAATGCCTCGATTTTCCTAAGGTTGGGCGGAGTCTTGTTCGGAAATGCCAAAAATAACAAAGTTGCATTTCCTGGTATTTCTTTCATGGATTTCTTGAACGATGTCTTCAAACACACTTGTTGGAATGGGGGTGGGTGGGGCTTTGGCCATTTTTTTCAATTCTTTCACCTCATCTTGCAAGGATATAATCACTGCTTTCAAAGAATTATTATCGGCGCCAATACTTTCGCAATGAACGCAAGTCCAAGAGAGTGACTTTTTGGCTTTGATTGTGCGAGTTTCAGAGGAAGAAATACCGACGCATTGCATATGCAGCAAGTGAGCTTTAAATGTGGTTCAGCTGCTTTCTGACAATTTTTACAAATATCCATTATCCCACTCAACTGTGACGCCTATGTGGGCTACTGATATTTGATAAATCGAGGTGAAGTGAGGTTACCTTGTATATCACAAGTAGTTTCAGGATGATACGCACTAATTGATAAAAACTAGTCACTGTGTCCACACACTGTAACCCGCCTCTGGTAACTGTAACTCGCCTCTGGTAGGGTACGCTGGTAGGGTGCTCTACCCACTTGTATTAACAGATGCGGCTAATTATTGCAAGCCATTTACAACTTAGTCCCGGTACACTGAATCAATTTTAGATATAATTCAGTTTTCACTAACTCAAAACTTGAAACTAATTTTTATTTTCACAAAGTTATTCACGGTACTTTCACTGTCGTTTTGATGCGAAATTTGAAATTTTTCTTCCGTAAAAAACCAGTTAATATTTAGTTTCTGTCGGGACAACGACGATGCACGTGTAAACTTATTCACAGATGGTCACAGAATCTATTTTGAAGCTATTTTCAAGAATGTGGCCCAATCTCCCTACTCGCCAGGTCTCGTCACGAGTTCTCTCTAAGGTCTCAATCTGCCTACTACTTAGATGAACTGGGGTGTCGATGTGTGATCGGTGGTATTTATATCGACGGAAGGTAGTGGAGTGGAAACTGGGGGCGGGGTTTCGGGTGATTACCATCACCAGACGTCCTGGTGGGGGGTGAGCATCGGCAGGTTTCCGCTGCCTGGATTTCTATTAATGAGGTTGCAGTCAATTTTGAGGATGCCAGGGAATACGAAAAAAACTTTAGGATTGTATCAAGCTTTCGGAAATGTTCATTTCATTCTTCAGAACTTATATCGTGAGTTTAAAAGGGGCTAGTTCCTTCATAGCAATCAAAGCTTATCGGTCATTTTATGCAGACATCTGGTATAATAATATTTAAATGTCAATTAAAATATTGATTGTACAGGACAGCATGGATCAATTATGGAAATTAGTTTTAGGTTAGTCACGAAACTAACATGGAACTATATAGCGTGACTCACGGTCAATGGTAGGTTAGACGTTTTTGGAAAACGCAAAGCATGATTTTTCTGAAAATTTCACCTCTCACATTTTCTTACCTGTTCTATCGACCTGAGATATTTTCAGCATTGCGGCATTGCCACTTCCATCAAAAAATCCTAGCAACTTTATTTTTTTAAATAGAACACCCCATATATTAATACATTTTTGGAATCGCTCTGATATTTTAATACTTTTTTGTCAATAATGTCCTATACCTATCTCTATCTGTTTTCGAGATAAAAAATAAATTGTGCTAAATATGGTCCAAAACATAGCCTCAATTGAAATTAAGTACATCAGTTCTCTCAATTCATGAAAAGTTGATATTTTGATGATAGTTTGGACAAACTCGAAATATTCAAATAACACCAAGAAATCGACTCCATATCATACAGGGCGTGCTGAAATTACTATTATTTCCATTGTGCATAAAAGTAGTAAAAAGTTCATTTTTTCAAATGAAACCCCCTGTATATTACTCGGTAAATTGAAAGATGGTGAAAAATGCCTAAATCGTCAAGTTTTCTCAATAAAGTCTCTTCTTCTAGAAACATTATATTTTTTAGAATTTGGATTTAGGTAGCAGTGGAATTATCAAGCTTATAGCAGTTCGGTTACTTTTATAAGTAATTTACAAAGAGTTATCGACGGTGTTTCGAATCATCTTCCAAAATGAATGCCAATATCGATTATTCAAACGGAGTTCTTATGAAATGATGTATTATACACATTTACAAAGTGATCAAATCATTGTCAGAACGTGTAAAAAATTCAACAAAATGTATCCTGAATTAACACCAATGAACGAGACGAAGTTTGTAAGGTTACAAAATAATTTTCTTAACTATGGCTCCATGTTGAAAGCGCCTTCAACATTACTTCAAATGAGGTCAATGCTGTTAACGTTTTGGCATATTTTTATGAATATCCAGAAGCTTTCATTAGCAGTGCAGAAAAAGATTTAGGTGTATCACATGCTTCAGTACAACGAATTTTGAAAAATCACGGAATGCATCCGTATAAATTTACCAAAGTTCAAGCTTTAAAAGCAGAAGCCTTCGAACGTAGAATGCATTTTTGTGAATCCCTTTTGATTCATACACAGGAAGATCGGGAATTTTTGTCAAAAATAATTTGGAGCGACGAATCAAAATTTACGAGGGATGGTATTTTCAATAGAAGGAATAAACATTTTTGGGCTGATCATAATCCTCATGTTACAAAAGAAATGGGTTTTCAAGAAAAATTTGACCTGAATATTTTCTGTATTCTGAAGAACAATAAAATCAGCTTTTTTATTTATGGAGATACACTGAATGCAGAGAGATATCTCCAAATATTAAGGACGACTTTAACCGATTTCCTTGAAAATTTGCCTTTAGAGGAATATAGAAATTCTTGGTTTCAACTGGACAAAGCGCCAGCTCATTCCACCCAGGAAGTTTCCAGGAAACTTGACGAACTCTTCGAAGATCGTTGGTTTAGGCGTTTAGGGCCGTGGGATTGGCCACTGATGGAAGTGGCAACGCCGCAATGCTGAAAATATTTTAGATCGATAGAACAGGTAAGGAAATGTGAAAGGTGGAATTTTCAGAAAAATCATGCTTTGCGTTTTCCTACCTACACACAGTTGGTTGGCAACAAGGGTGATATATATACCTGAAGTGGGGTGGAGAGACCCACACCCCAAATCGGTACAACCAATCAGCTTTACATCCTTCCTGCTGAAAGGACTGGAGAGAATACTGGGAGGACACATCAGGAGGGTGGCATTATATTCATCCCCCTTAACAACCACCAGTATGCTTATCAAACCGGCAAATCGACAAATTCAGCATTGTCCCTTGACAACAAGGAGATTACGATTGCTGTATTTCAAGATATTGAAGGAGCATTTGAAAATGCACTTCCTAAATCTATAGGATCGTCTCTGGCTAAGAGAGGGGCTGCCCTCAAGGTGGGGTACTTTCGTCCCATGTAGTCGCTCCTGATAGATTATCAGCTTGATGCCCTCGATAGAAGGAATGTATATCTGCAAGCTTATGCAGACGACCTTGTCATCTTGTCAAGGTCCGCGTCGGAAAGGGTAGCTTGTAATATCCTCCAATGCACGTTGAACATTGTTCACGGTTGGTGCCTGAGGGAGCAGATATCTGTCAACCCCAGCAAAACTGTGATAATCCCCTTCACCAGCAGGAAAAAATTGGACGGTCTAACGTTACTTTCCCTCAATGGTGAGGTCATTCCATTTGGAACGGAGGTGAAATATCTTGGCATTATCCTTGATGAAAAAGTCATCTGGAACGCTCACTTGGAAAGAGTTTTACACAAAGCCAGACTGTCCCTGTGGACAAGTTGAAAGATTTGTGGTAAAACTTGGGGTTTAAGTCCCAAACAAATCTATTGCATTTATGTGACCAATGATCACTTATGGTGCAATTGCCTGGTGGCCGAAGGCTTTACAGAAAACGGCTCAGGCGAAGCTCTCTAGCTTACAGAGACAGGCTTCTCTGGCCATCAGTGGTGCCATCAGTACCACACCGTCAGCGGCCATGAATATCCTTCTAGAACTACCTCCTCTTCACATTTTTCTGGAGAGAGCGACTGGATGGACTGCATATAGACTTGTGCACATTGCCAATTGCACAATTCAATGTAATGCAGAGTACAACAGATTGTTGGTTAACTCTGGAAGTCACAGCATTCTGGAAATGACCTCTAACTTTATGCATCCAACTGTCAACTACGAACTGCCTTATAAAGTACTGTTCCTGAGTAGAGAGGACTGAATCCTCCTGAAGAAGGAAATATTAAGAGCAGATAGTTTTTGGATCACGGATGGATCAAAAACAACTACCGGTTCTGGTGCAGGTGTTCTCAGTCGCAGACCCAGGACAGAGTTATCTACCTGCCTAGGAACGTATGCGACTGTATTTCAAGCGGAAATTTACGCTATTGAATTGTGTGCGTAGAGATTGGAAGAATCCAACTTTATATACAAGTAATGAAAATATTCTCGGACAGTCAAGCGGCATTAGAAGCTCTTGGCTTCTACCGAACAACGTGTAAATTGGCAGCAAATTGCCAAGAACGACTCTCCTTAACAGATTGTCTCTGGTCTGAATTCCTGGTCATACTGGTCTGGAAGGCAATGAGGCCCTTGCAAAGGAGGTTGTTGCAAACAGCTTCATCGGACCAGAACCTGTCATTGACCTCAAAGACCACTCACCAAACAATCTAATCGGCTTCGTTAAAAAGCTGGATTTGTTTGGTAGAGTATGAATAGGTGTGAGCCACAATAAATCCTTGCGGGTTGGGGTGGAGGGTCGAATAGACCCTCCGATGAGACGTCAAGTCACTCAATGTCAGACGTTTGACAGCAACATGTCTTGTTATCTTAGGATCCTGCGTGAGTGGAAGCTGGCCATCGTGAATTTATTGAAATCGTTAACTCACCTGGTTATAGATATTTTTTGCTTCTTCCTTCTCCTTAACATAGGCTTTATAACTTTTACCACCAATTTCCATCACAAATTCGGAAATGAATGCTTTGTCTGGCAAGACTACGGTGAATGTTGCTTCTTTTGCTTTGGTATCTTCATTTCTCACTTTGCTAGTTACCAGTGTTTTAGCGAAGCGATTTGAAACATTCGACTTTATGTTCATGTCATAAATGATAGGATATGAGGCCACATTACTGGTACTCTGAAACAAAACAAAAAAAACTTGATGCAATTCGAACATCTCTTTGGAAGTGGAATTGTAGATAATGAAGTAAGAAGCCGAAATCTCTTAGCACAGTAAAATGTCTTTTTTTCGAATTTTCCCCACTTTCGAAAGGAAAAATGAGATATTTCTTTCTGTTACTAAGTCAAGATTTCCTCATTCTATCTCTGTTATTGTTTCATCATCATTTAGGAGTTTTTTGTTTGTTGTAATCACATAACTGAATGTAAGTTGAAAAAAATAAAATATAGAAGTTTGGAGGGCCTCATTAAATATTCTTTCCTAGTACTTCTTTCTCGACATTAGTACATTCTGAAAAACACAATGAAGTAATCCCTTCAGTTATGAGGAATTTCATTATCGAAACATTACAAGGCACTGAAAAAAGCCAAAATACGATAACAAACAAAAAACACGATAGTCCCAATTTCGAATTCAAAAAAACTCTTTTTCAACATTGTTTATTAAAATTGTTTTTCAGCGTTGAAATACAGACGAATTTCATTAAACCAAGCAACTAGTTGTTCCAAGGTAGATTCACAAGTTTCTTTTAAGGTATCGAGATTTTTGTGAGATATAAGTAAAGACGTATCATCAGCATAAATTGTAAGTCCTACGTTTGGAAACGATTTCGTTATTTCATTAATGTATAAAATGAAGAGAACCGGGCCTAAGACAGAGCCCTGGGGGACACCCATATCAATTCGAACCTCACGTCACAGAAAATGCCGTATGCGGTCTAGTAGATCGTTAAAATAGTGATTAATAGGAGCTGTAGGTGATTTTTCTCTCCGAAAACCGTGTTGGCTGCTAGTTAAAATGTTGAATTCATTCAAAAAGGGAATGAGTCTTTCTAAGTAACAATCATCGAAAACTTTTGAGAAGCTGCTGGAAATTGTTATAGGTCTATAATTTTCCCAAGTTTTTCCAAAATGCATTTTCGTGAGGCCACATTTCTTGATCGTTAAACAATGAGTATACAATTATACTCACACCTTACTCATATACTATTCAGGAAATAAAGTTATTGAAGGTTCATATACTGCAAATGGTTTCAATATGAAACTAGAATAATGACTTCTCTGCTCCTTTGAAGAAGGTACGGTTTCCTACTGTACCTTTTTTCATTGAAAAATAACTAACCTTTTCGTTTTCTTTTGCCGATTCATCGGAGGCGACCACAAAACTATTATCACTAGGAGCTGCTAAAGCAATAGTGCACAATGAAGCAACAAAGTACAAAAGTTTCATCTTCAAAACGATCATTTCACTAATCGACGTTAACTGAGATACTGAACTTTTAGACAACGACAAATATTATATATTTATGTAGTTTGCTATAATATTTATCTTCAATCGGGGTTATCCCTGAGTTCATATACTGTCTTGATTGTTCGAAGAAAATGTTTTCGTAAATAACATCTGATGATAGGTATTTCCAAGCTTAGTAATAGTAATTGATATGCTAGCAATAAATATTTTATTTCGAAGAATTCGTTAAATTTCTCTTCTATCATTTTCTAGAATTGAGTGCGTCAAAATAGAAAGTCTTTCATTTTGTCGGTCACTGGGCACATTTTTAAGATATAATAATAATAATAATAACAATGTTTATTCACAGATATGATTATATACATTTGATAGAGAATTTAGTTGAAAAAACAAACAATATCACAAAAGTCACAGAAGTGACTTGTGCGTGATAATATAAATATGACAGATAATAACAATATAAATAATAACACATAAATAATAATAATTTAAATATTACATTTTCACAATGACATGTCAAAATATCTCAGTCATAAAATAAATAGTATATTGAAATATCAATCAATCAGTTTTTAATAATCAAATTTGATGGAGAAGGTGTAATTAGATCAAAACTAAAACTTTCACAAATGAATCAACAGTCGAACAGAACCAATGAAACCGGGGTACATAGAAAATATCCTATACAGGGCTTTTCATGATGAGCGTTAATTAGCCGTTTCTGGCAAACTATTCAACGGATCAACCTGAAAATTCCACAGTACGCATAAGTCAATATGACCTACACGCCTAAAATATTTCAGACGAAGCGACGTTGTCGCTTCTACTATAAAGTAGCGGCTTCTTTGATTTTTCAAATGGAACACCCCGTATATAATATCATATTATGATTCATTATCACTTTGTCAACAAATTCATATACTATTTTCCTATACCTATCTTTTACTGTTTAGGAGATATAAATTAATTTCGATATTTTTTTTACCAAACATGAACTTCTATAAATGCTGATAATATTGAACTCTCTTGCACTAAAACGATCAAATTCTTCACTCCGAGTCATATTTTCATTTGCCTCATACAGGGTCTTCAATAAATGCAGATACTTTGATCTCATGAACGGTATGCTAAAACAAATTAAAGATCACGAAACGACCGAAAGACCTAAGTGATAGAATTGAATTTTCTGATTGGATGTATGGGCCGTAACTTGCTATTTAATTTTAAGAAGGGAAATATCCGCTGACTTAGGGAAAAATGCGTCGCGGGAAATGGAACACGGTAGAGTGGGTTGATAGGAGGTCGAGAAGTGTCCGTCGGTGGTTTTGGGTCATGAAAGGTCGAGTTGAGAAAAATTAATTAGAGGAGAATTTTTTTGTGGGGAGATAAATTCGGAAAACTAATAAAGTATTCGAAAGAAAGGGGAAACCGAGAGGTCAATCGCGAGTTATTCGAATAGTGTGATATTCGAGGTACGTTTGGGAGTTTGGGGAAAAACCCGGTCTTACTTTCGTTTCCTTTTTGGTTGCCAGTTGAACCAAGTGAAATTTAGTTTTGGTGTCTTGTGTTAAATTTGGTAAAACATAAAAGGATTCGCCGCTATCTACAGCTAAACGGAGGAAGAGAGCTATTGGTAAGAAAGTTTCAGGGGTTCTTCGTCTGGTGGCTAACCATATACTTTCATTGAAATACTGTGGGTGAACATTTATTTAAATAGCTTATCTCATATAGAGTTGCTCAATAAAGAGCATGTTTATGAATATTCAATCGAATGCCGGTTGAGCATTCTTTTATGATCTGACTAGGTTAATGTGTTGTCGTTTATATCATATTTGTAACTTTTGTATTTCTTATATTTTTTTTACTATACTTATTAACTAACTTTGAATACGGTTTATTTTTGCTGGTAATAATACTGGTAGGAGAAACAGGGGAAAAAGGGGAACGTAGAGTATATTTATATCTCACATAAATAAGGACACTCCCTAGGAAAAGTTCATATGAAAGGTATCAATGGCATACCCCGACAAAGCGCCTGGAAGGACTCAAGTGAAAAAGTTTTCTATTCTAAAACAGTGCCTATTTGATAAGCAGAAGCTAAGCCAAACCTTTGGAGGGTAATCACTTCTGCGGGCATCATCTAAAATAGTTCTCTAGTAAGTATCATTCTCCATTTTTAAATTTCAAATGGTGACAGCGGCTGCTCTAATTTTGAGTTTTGGCTATAGTTTTCCCTATCAAAACTGATGAATATAAAGATCAAGATATTTTCTGTTTTCCTCTATACAGGGTGTAACTGAATAAGTGTAAAACATTCAAGAAGGTGATTCCTCATCGAAAAAAAGATAGGATCTTTCATATAAAGACATTTCATTGGAGCATCCCTTGTTAAGATACAGTCCCTTAAAGGGGGTACATGAAATTTGTATAACAATTTTTTTCACAAGCACTAAAGAAGTTACAATCAACCTGACGGTTTGTACTACCAAAAAGACACTTAACCAGAAATTTATATGGTTTACCCCATGGTTGTGAGGGATGGAAAACGCAACCCCTAAAATTCATTTCCAATGTAACATTTTGTCTTATTATTTGTTTACCATTTAAAAATTCATTTCCGATAGACTGTTTCTTCCAAAACAAAAAACGTCGTCACGTACATCGTCATAAATGCGAAAATACGAAACTAATCTATCTTGTAGGTCGCTATTAGCGATAGTAACAATTGAATTGGTATGATGCTGTCAGTTTGTGAATTTTCGAAATTGAATTAATACTAATTGTGTGTTGTTGTTCTGTTCTTAATTTGTTACTTTAATAATTCACTTGTTATTAAAATGGCTTACACAAATGAAGAAATGGCTGATATGCATTATGTTTACGGTCTGTCGCAGGGAAATGGGTTAGAAGCTTCTAGAAGATATGCTGAAATGTATCCTCAACGGCAGCATCCTTCACTTAGAATATTTGCTCGACTTCATCAACGACTACGAGAATATGGTTCATTCGACAAAAGAACGCAGGATTGTGGTCGCCATTGAGAAGTACGAACACCACAGCTTGAGGAAGCAGTACTTAATTTTATCGAAAAACAACCTACTACCAGTACTAGAAAGATTGCTTTCCAGTTGAATGTTGATCATATGACGGTATTTCGAATTTTGAAGGAACAACTCTTATACCCTTACCATCTGCAACGAGTACCGTTGCAGATGGTAACCGTCTTGTATTTTGCAATTGGATGCTGGAAATGATTAGAAGAAATTGTGACTTTCTGAAGACGATAGAATTCACAGACGAATGTAGTTTTTCACGGGACAAGATTATTAATTTTTATAATTACCACATATGGGCTGATGAAAACCCTCACGCTATTGTCGAAACTAACCATCAAGAACAGTTTTTTCTTAACGTGTGGCTCGGAATTATTGGGGATGATTTAATTGGGCCTCATTTTCTACCTCCTCGATTAAATGGTGAGGCATACGTTCAATTTTTAAGAGAAGTGCATCCAGTACTGCTGGAGGAAGTTCCTTTGGGCGTCAGAAGTGATATGTTTTTTATGCATGATGGGGCTCCCGCCCATTTTAGTTAAGTATTTAACTGAAACATATGCAAATCAGTGGATAGGTCGAGGAGGACCACAGAACTGGCTCGCTTGATTCCCGAATCTCAATCCTCTCGATTTCTCTATTTGGGACCATTTACAGCATTTGGTTTATCGTACTCCTGTTCGCGATGTAAAGGCCTTAAGAAACCGCATCATCGATGCGTGCAGGGTAATCAGAGAGACTACAGGAATATTTGAGCGAATACGTGGCTCAATGCGCCGACGTCTAGACGCATGCGTAATGTCTGAAAGTAGACATATTGAACATTTACTATGATTTCTACATGTTTTGTGTTTTCTTATTAATAAATTAGTTTTGTTCATGTTTCTCTGTAGTTGTTCGTAAACTAATTTCTTGCTGCGAACTGGTTCATTTTGGGCAAAAAACCCTAGAGACTTTTTTGTTTAGGATGAAACAGGCTATCGGAAATAAATTTTTAAATGGTAAACAAAAAATAAGACAAAAAGTTACATTGGAAATAAATTTTAGGGGTTGCGTTTTCCACCCCTTACAACCATGGGGTAAACCAAATAAATTTCTGTCTAAGTGTCTTTTTGGTAGTACAAAACGTCAGGTTAATTTCGATATTGTAACTCTTTCAGTGCTTGTGAAAAAAATTGTTATACAAATTTTATGTACCTCCTTTAAGGGGCTGTATCTTAACAAGGGATGCTCCAATGAAGTTTCTCTACATGAAAGATCCTATCTTGTTTTCGATGAGGAATCACCTCCTTAAATGTTTTACACTTATCCAGTTACACCCTGTATAAGCCTAGCATTGCTACAATGGCGGCTTCGTTTGGGAAATAAATATTCCTACCAGAAAGTATCTTCCGCTTCAAATACAGAGTTCAAACCCATCATAGAGGTTACATCCTGAGATGAAATCTTCCCTACACAGTTAAAGGGTGCAGAACATCTCATCTCGTCCATCCACCCCCGCTCCTCCACAGCGGTCCTCATCTTACTGATGGGCACTTCAGCAAGATTGACATCTGACCTTTTTTTGGTGGAAAGTCAGTCTTAAGGTGCTTTTACTTTCTGATCTGATGTTTTGTTTTATCGTGGCTTTCCTAGCTGAATTTTTGCATGGGGCCCCCCAAAAACCAAACGGAGACTATTGTTTAAAAGAGATCGCGGAAGTGTTTGTTAATAATAATAATAATAACAGGTCTTTATTCATCGTAATAAAAATAAACAGTAGAAAGATATGATGAAACATAATATGATGAATGGGCGAGGTTCAGCTATTATAGCTGCTTTTAAACCTAACCTTTCAAACTATAAAAGAATGCATGGTATCGTAAATAAATAATAAATTATTATAAAATAAAATAACTATAAAATAACACAAAATGATAAAATCGCGATATGGTAAAACAACATCTGGGAAATCGAAACCTATTTGATAAGCATGAGGACAGTATTGTGGTAACTTATTGACTCGTTAACATTAGAGCTTTGAGTCTTTTTTTAAAGTTCTTGAGAGGTAACTGTTTGAAGTCTACAGGTATGGTGTTATACAATTTAGCTGCCATGTATGAGAAACTACGTGTAAAAATAGCCGAATTATGATTGGATATAAACAAGATGTGTTGATTGCGACTCTTATTGTTGAAAGATAGTGAAATGTATCTGTATATACTTACTGGAGCCGCCTGACAGAGACTCTCGATCTCGACATCCATCTCCTCTGTAGAATCAGCGTCAGACTGAAAGTCACAGCATTCTGTGAATGACCTCTGACTTTAAGCCTCCTACTGTCAACTACAAGCTGCCTTATAAAGTACAGTACAGTACAGAGTACAGAGGACTGGATCCTCCGGGAGAAGGAAATATCAAGAGCAGATAGTTGTTGGTTCACAGATGGTTCAAAAACACCTTCCAGTTCTGGTGCAGGTGTTTTCAGTCGCAGACCCAGGATAGAGATATCAACCTGCCTAGGAACCTATGCGACTGTATTTCAAGCGGAAATTTACGCTATTGAATTGGGTGCGGAGAGATTGAAAGAATCCAACCTCATACACAAGTCAATGAAAATATTCTTGGACAGTCAAGCGGCGTTGGAAGCTCCTGGCTCCTACCGAGCAACGTCTAAATTGGTGGCAAATTGCCAAATACGACTCTCCTTGATAGGAAGACTCAACAGATTGTCTCTGGTCTGGATTCCTGGCCATACTGGCCAGGAGATAATGAGGCTGCTGACTCCTTTGCAGAGGAGGGTGCTGCAAGCAGCCTTATCGGATCGGAACTTGTCATTGGCGTCGCTTCAGGCTTTGCCAAACAAAGATTGAACACCTGGATGGAGAGAAGACTTATGGACTTCTGGCCGAATCTTTCAGCATTGGCTCATTCCAAGGCGTTTATTCACCCTTCGTAGCTTGATACCAAACAGTTGTTGGACTACAGTAGCTATGAAGAACGATGTCTGATAGGCCTTCTTACAGGTCACTGTCAATTGAATTATCATATGCAGATACTTGGACTGTCGGAAGACAGTGTGTGTCGCCTCTGTTTGGAAAACGATGAAACAGCAGAGCACATAGATAAAACTAAATTTATAACTTTCACTTCAACAAGAAAAGATCAACCTGACGAAAACTTCATTGAGATTCACAAATTTACGTGTACAGAAAACCAAAACTGTGGATGTTCCCGAATATATAAAACAAATTCTATCAGATATTTAGGTGTCATTGTAACCTCAATACTTGAAGTTGCGATTACAATTACAAAACCTCTAAGTCCCTCTGACCCATAGATGGCGAAAGATAATTGATAATGTTTGTTCACTATTGTTTAATTTAAACAAGCTGTCAATTATTCACCTACACTCACTCCGAATTCAATTTGATATAATAATCAAAAAAACAGTAAAAATAATTTCCTTTTCGACACGTCTTGACATGAATTTTTATAAATAATCGTGAATATACGGAATAATATATTTTTTTCCTCATGAAGTTGATTTCATTATCAATATTTTGAACTATATATTTTTAAGTAGATAATTATCCCGTTA